ATAGGTATTGTCAGTCTTCAGAAGATATGTCTGCATGATAGACAGATCTCTCCTAGAGCACATCTGTCCCAGGCATTCCTCAACTGGCACTGTGCCCTCGTAGATTAATCAAGCACTAATGATGCACCTACATGTGAGATGCAGACATCAGAGTTCAGTTGGGGGGTCATGTTTAGGCAAATTTATTAAGGTTATGATCCAGTTTCAATGATCTTGGTGTACTTTTATAGTATTGGTGAATTGTGGTCCAGGAAAAGGTAGAAAAATTAAAAAATTAGATTCCAAATGAAGTGGAAAAAGCAGTGATTGTAGCATTTTATATTACTAATGTTGGTGATAGTAAAAGTGCTCAGAAAATGGTTTTGCAGGTATACGAGGTTGGAGGCGGATTGTAGAACCACATCCCTAAATCTCCATCTATTGGGTACTACCCATAGCACTTGCAAGGACCAAGAATGCCTAGTGTAAGAAATACATGGCATTCTATGAATGACACTGGCAGTAGGTAGGCAGTGGACTAACTCATTCTGAATGGAAGATGTACCCGTTTGAGAGAAATAAAAACCAGAAATTAAGAAGTGAAACTTAAGTCTCAATTATTTGCTAAAAATTCAAAATGTAGCAATCCCACTAAGTAAATCAGAATCTCCACATGAAATTTGTCCTGGTAAGTTAGGTTGTGCTGACAAAGATTTCACACAGGACTTTCCCCTAACTCTGGAAAGGTAAAATACCTTTAACTTAATGGAAATTATATGTTCAATCAAATGAGGAATTTCCAAGAAACCCTAAATGCATCAAGTAGCAATTTCTATGGGGAAAGCATCAACTGATCTCAAACTGGAATGTAAACAACAGAAACATCTACCTGTGTCTCAAGCAGGATTTTATCTGAGGGCTGGTTTACATGACCGCACAGCTACTTACATGTAATGACAGGTCTTTTTGAGTTTCTGCTCTCCATCCCCACCCCCCACCTCACCCCCAAAGGTTGGCCATTGGTTATCTTTTTACTGGTCATTCTTGTTTTAGAAAGATTTGGTAAGTGCCTATTAAATGGAATCTGTTCTTTTTATTTGGGAGAGAATAGAAAATACAAATGAATACTAACTTTAGGCTTTTTAATGGTACTTGCAAGCTTGCATCCGGCTAAGCAAGGGGACAGGTAAGTTATACCATTCTCTCCACAGACGGGTTCCCACTGGCTTTCATCACAATCGCAATCTGAGTTGCAATAAGACAGTGGTACATTTTCATGAGTTGGCACTGTTTTTTTCCTGAAAATATATGATACACAAACATCAAAAAAGAGTGAGAGAAGGTGAAATGAAGGAAAGGGAAAAACGTTATTCTTAAATTAGACACATTTAATACAAAATGACATCAAAGGCAAAGTTTGTTTAAATGTTCAACTTTATGATGCAGGTTAACTTTTCATCCTCCATCTTTACCAAGATATGAGTTATGATGTAGCTGAGTAGAGCTAAAAAAAAGAGAAACCAAAGTGGATTGGAGAGCTTTAGGAACAAGGGCTTTGTTGTTCTCCTGAGAAACTTCACCTTAGCTAAATCACTCCATGTTTTCTGGTGGCGGTGTGGGGGGTGGGGTGGACTCAGTTCCTCTTCACTGAGATGATGCCATTAGACTGAAGGTCATCTCGGCTCAACATAAAGACTTTTAGCTTGTGAATGTTATTTAGTGGGGTTGAATTTTAAAATAAGTATTTTAATCTATATTTTTCTTTGAGAAAAGAATTCAGAGCCCACAAGAAAACAGTTTGAAAAATCAAGAATAATAGATTGAGAAAGATGATAAGGTCTCCTCGCCTTTTAATGAAACTGCAGTATGGTTTATCATAATTTACTGCATAACATGGCCATAGCTGATGACATAATGGCTAGAGTGGCACAGCGGGGAATATTTGCACAATAATCTTTTTGCTCCTTCAATTTATTTATTTTTGTTTTTTGATTCTAAAAATATTCTTAATCTTGGAAGAAAACCTGATAATAATGAAGGACTAATAAATCATATTTCAATGAGCCAGTAATTTAAAAGAAGAAAACTAAGTAGATCCAGCAATTCAGAAATTACAAGTAATTTTGCGAAAAGCATCTAATGCCCAATTCCACTTGCTGACCCACTGCTGAGACTGGCTAAGCAGAACAGCTCAGGATCGCATCCAGACATTGCAGTGTGATAGAGCTGTGCTTCTCTTTGATCTTCCTCTCCCCGATAATGTGACTACTCTTTCTAGAATCAGTTTCTTCATTTAAGTCCAAACATACTTATGCTAACCTCATAGATTTTGGAGGGAGGAGGGAGGGTTGAATTAATTCAGCAGCTCCAAAACCTTTGGTCTTAGGAACTCCCCAAAAGTACTGAGGACCCCAAAGTTGGTTTTTGTTTTTGCTTTTTAGTATGAAATTTACCTATTGTTATCTACCCTCTTAGAAATTAATATTGAAAGCATTTATCACACAAAAATAAATAAGCACACATATCATTAGCCATCCGACTACGATATCATCATATATCTTGTAACCTTTAGAAAATATCACTATACAAAATGAGAATGAAGAAGGCATGTAATATCTTAGTATAAATGAAGTTGTTTTCAATTTGCGGATCTTCTGATAAGGTGTTGGGGAATCCCAAGAGCCATCAAAGCTCATTCTGAAAACCCATGTATTAATGCATACCTTAGAAACCTAGCTTAGTGACTAAGAGTCCACAAACAGTAAATTATATCTGTTATTTGCTGTAATTAAATTATGAGTTCCAGAAGAAAATTACTGTTTCCTAAAGATCGTGACATACATTAAAATTTAGGTGAATGGAAAAATCTTCCTGTATCTCTAGATTCCTTCTTCTGAGGAGATGGCTCAAAACTGTACTTATTTTCTGGGTACTGGCTTCCAGACAAGCCCAGCCTGACAATCAGAGGGCCCTTGGAAGTGACAGTGTTGTGTAGACATCCTGAGTGACTTTAAACAGCTCACAGTTTGTTTGAATCTTAAGGAGTAAACCAAGGGGATATATGATGGTTGGATTGTATGATGTTAAGACTATTTTATGCAGTTGATAAGTAATATGTACAAACCCATCATAGGTCAAGGATAGGCCAGCAACTGGTTTGGTTTCACAGAGCAGTAGAAAGTTAAATAGTTGAAGTACGAAAGCCACCACAAAAGCGGCAAAGCATAATTTTGCAATTCCAACCAAGCTAAGTCTGAATTTTTTAATGATATATCCTCCTATTAAAAATCCACCTGAAAGAGTAGGCATGGTGATGAGTCCTAGAAATAAAAGGAAAAATGTTACTTATATAGATTTTCCCTCCTGGTATATATTTATGCATGAAACACAGTGTATCCCACCCAAGTTCATCTGCTATTATCACTTCTTCAGTAGATAGGTGGCAGGCCAGGATAAAAATAGAGGGCCAGTTTACTATGTGAAAGACACAAAACTAATTTCTTCCTTCCTATACTGAGAATTTGGTATCACTTATAGCAAAAATCAGTGATTGAGAATATTTGTGTATGTCTTCAAAGATGGATTCTCTGAGGTTGTTTTCCCCTCATAGATAACAACAAATAAACACCATCCTCTTGCTTATCCAAATTTTATTTATTATCTAAAATTCTTTGTATCTATTGAGATGAAAAAAACAGGAATTTACATGTCTTTAGTCATATTTAAATGATGTATCCTTCTCATAGTTTTCTATTTCATTATCATGCAAGAATTATTGAAAATAATGTCTTCTAACAAAATATTCAGGTTGTGAACTTTATTGGGACTAAAAAAGATCACCATTATAGGTTTAACTTTATAGATGCTAAAGGATTGATTGTTTGAATCCATCAAAGGGCGACTGGCTATCTACTTCTGTGAATGTTACAGCCAAGAACTCCCAGTATGGAAGATCCATGCTGCATACAGGGTCACTATCAATCAGAACTGACTTTATGACACCGAATGCCAACCTTAGTAAGTTTATCTCAATCTGTCCTAGAAAAGAAAAACGGTACCAAAGAATTTCTCTAAAATGTGCTGTTTGTCTTCACGGTGCAGATATGTGTTTAAATTGGGGTTTCTTTGGAAAACATCAGCGTCTTACTTTGTGTAAGTCATTGAGTTCTGATATCAAAGTCCTTGAATTATGGAATTGTGTTCATTATATTAAAAAGAATTTCTCTTAGGATACCAGCACTAAATAATACACTCCATCTATGCAGAAACCATATCCATATATTCTATTTCATGCAGAATATTTCCTTTAGGAGCTTATTTAAATATGGAACAATGATGATATCACAAGCTTGACAAATTTAAATTTGCAAAAGCCTAGGAGACATTATGCTTATTAAAATATATAAACACCTTCACAAAAAAATGAGCCTTTACAGTAATTTAAAACACAAATAGTTGGCAAATCTCATTAAGCAAATAAGTAAACAATATGTCTTACCAATCCAAAAGTTTGTCTCAGCTATTGACTGACCAAACTGTTGTTCTATGTACTTGAAGATATACGTAATACTACCCACAAAGCCACTGAAATTTAACAATGACAAAGCCAAGAATATGACATATAGAGGGGTGGTAAGGATGCTTTTCAAGGACTGGATAAAACCTATAAGAAAATATGAGAATCCAAATTACAATATATTTGTATATCTATATTATCACCTCGATTTTGTAAATATCATATAAATTACATAAGATTACATAAATATGTAACACAAAAATGAGACTTTCTATTAAAGAATCATGGAAACCACAGGGGCAGTTTTACCTTGTCTTATGGAGTCTCTGTGAATCAGAATTGACTTTATTGTAGTGAGTTTTGGTATAGTGTTTAAAACACTATTGCAATTGCCTATTCTCAGAATCATCAAGTAGATGTAAATTTTCATAAAATATTATCACAATATTAGATCTCCATGGACTATCATGATACCTGGTAGCATTTGTTGAGAGAATTAATGAAGTATTACAGTCCCTTACACTCTCAGAGTTTATGCTATTCAATGT